GATACGGACTGGACACGAATTGTGAAGTTTGTTTGCGGGGGTTAAAAAATAACACAATATCTTTTGTTACCGATAAATATTCTGACTGTCAGGTAAAAAGACATTTTCTTCGCCCCGAATTCTTTGCCGTAATTTCTGAATGTTTAGACTTTATGTAAATCTCTGCAAAGAGGTAGGAAGGGGTGGGATGGGTTGTTAGAAACGAATAAGATACCTAATTTGCATATATAGCCTAAGACCAGCATGCAATATGCAATGTTACAAACTACATGCATATTGAACCGTATGAACAATATACGGCATGTTACTGCCGTCTTAATATTTTTTTTTTATTTAAATTATCTTCTATTAAATCAATATAGAGGTTATTTACATGTACTTGTGGGTGTAAAGATGGGAAAATGCGTGTTTTAGAAAAAGAAAGCATTTTTCACAAGTCTGGAATGAATCCTATGTGTCTATCACAGCAACTACAAACATCCTGTTTTTAAAACTGAACTTGCATGGTCTGAAATCAGGATTGAAGGATTTCGGTGTTCTGAAGCAATGAAGACCCTAAAAAATTCTCAAAGCGTAAAAAAGCGCTAAAAATAGTACTATTTTGTCGCAGTTGATAAAACAGGGCACAGCAGAACGGAGGAAAGAGCACATCGATCTCGATATAAATGACTACTTGCGTAACTTCCGTTGCGCACGCACTCACCCTACCACACAAAAGCGAATTACTACATGTACATGTATATTCTCTCCAATTTCGTTGCGAGGTATGAATTGTGTTGTGATTTTTAAACCAGAAGTCTCTGACAAGACTGTGGCTCTACTGGTTGTATTTATAAAGGAAGAGAAAAGTAGCACTTGGACTTGAAACTTTGCAACAGCAATAAACAGAATAATGATCCTTGGTTTAGTCTCTTTTGTGGCAAGATTTATTATTATATCAGACTAAAACTGTAGGAGGAGTAGCCTTTTAAAACAATTTTACAGAAATTTTGATTTAAGTAACCATGGCAACATCATTCAACAAAATCAAAAAACAATAACACCAATTTAATATGTATCTCTGTAGTCTACTTGTATGCCACATTATACTGAAATCAGACAAAAAGTGTAGGAGGAGTAGCGTTTAACCTTTAGTAACCATGGCAACACCGTTCATTGAAATCCAAAACTGGTATAAAGAATTATGTATCTTAGTGTAGTATAATTGTGTGCTAAGTTATACTAAAATTAGACCAAAACTGTAGGAGGAGTAGCATTTTGAAGGTATTTCAAGGAAATTTCTATTTTTAGTAACCATGGCAACACTGTTCATCGGAATCCGAAACTGGTACAGAGAATAATGTATCTTAGTGTAGTTTACTTGTGAGCTAAGTAATACTAAAATCAGACCAAAACTGTAGGGGTAGCATTTTGAAGGTATTTCAAGGAAATTTCTATTTTTAGTAACCATGGAAACAATGTTCATCGAAATCAGAAAATCAATATAAAGAATTATGTATCTTAGTGTAGTCTACAAGTTTGCCAAGTTATACTGAAATCAGACCAAAACTGTAAGAGGAGTAGCATTTTGAAAGTATTTCACAGAAATTTCTATTTTTAGTAACCATGGCAACATCGTTCATTGAAATCAAAAACCGATATACAGAATTACGCATCTTAGTATAGTCTACTTGTGTGCCAAGTTATATTGAAATCAGATAAAAACTGTAGGAGGAGTAGCATTTTGAAAGTATTTCACAGAAATTTCTAAATTTAGTAACCATGGCAACACCGTTCATCGAAATCAAAAACCGATACATAGAATTACGCATCTTAGTATAGTCTACTTGTGTGCCAAGTTATATTGAAATCAGAAAAAAACTGTAGGAGGAGTAGCATTTTGAAAGTATTTCACAGAAATTTCTATTTTAAGTAACCATGGCAACACCGTTCATCGAAATCAAAAACCGATACACAGAATTATGTATCTTAGTATAGTCTACTTGCGCGCCAAGTTATATTGAAATCAGATCAAAACTGTAGGAGGAGTAGCATTTTGAATGTTTTTCACAGAAATGTCTATTTTTAGTAACCATGGCAACACCGTTCATCGAAATCAAAAACCGATATACAGAATTATGTATCTTAGTGTAGTCTACTTGTGTGCCAAGTTATATTGAAATCAGACCAAAACTGTAGGAGGAGTAGCATTTTGAATGTTTTTCACAGAAATTTCTATTTTTAGTAACCATGGCAACACCGTTCATTGAAATCAAAAACCGATATACAGAATTATGTATCTTAGTGTAGTCTACTTGTGTGCCAAGTTATACTGAAATCAGACCAAAACTGTAGGAGGAGTAGCATTTTGAAAAATTGTTTACAGACGGACGGACAGACAGACAGACAGACAGACGGACGGACGACGGACACCTTACTATCGCATAAGCTCTTCTGGTCTCTGACCAGTAGAGCTAAAAACTGATCTTTCAAATACTGATATTTCCCCCAAAAGAAAAAATAGACACATATTAAAGTGGATTTAAGAAAAGTTGCTTAAATTTTTGTGCATTTTTGGATATGAAAACCCTTGGCAACAAAACCTCAATTTTCACTCTATATTTCTACAAAAAAGTCAAACCCTTGTTTACAGCTTACACTGATTGTTCTCTTGCTGTTTTTTTTTTTAAATTTTACTTTAACCTACTGTTATTAATAATCATCTACAATCTATTCAAATTAATGCATTGTAACAAATCTTACCTTTTGCTTTATTATTTAAGTACTTAAATGTAGCTGTCGAAAAAACAGACATTTTTTTTGATATTCATTCCTTTTCAAAAATGATTATTCTATGGTTGACATGATACTTTCCTGTATCTTGTGGGTATGGCATGGCTTGAAAAAGTTTGAACATCTATATTTCCATATATTTCTAGCCTATGCATTAAATTGATACTTATACTATATTGATGTTCTCTAGAAAATTTGAGGTACATTTTCCTGTATACTCCGGCAAATTTGAATCCATAATGTGACTTCACACTACCCTGTGAATTGAGCAAAGAACTACGCACGCTAACATCAGATATCCCCGCCTACTTTGTATCCTTTGTACAACCCATTTAACTCAATTTAGTGACAAATTGGCAATTTAAGCTTTTTAGAATGCAAACAAGAGTTTAATAGTAAACTGATTAATAATTTTAATACCAGTGTTAAATAGTTAACTGCTCATAATAACAACTCTTTTCATAAGGTTTCACAATAGAGAGAATTTACATTTACCATAAATTGGTTTGGATTTATTTAAATAATTATCGTGATTAAGTGATTAATTAGGTGTTATCATTCTGATGACAAGCTTTCTATTATATATTTTGTTGTTCTTATAAATATGGTAGAAATAAGTAACATGTGATTTATCTAATTAAATGGAATGAAACTTTAAAAAATATTTTTACATATGATATTGTGCTGATATTTAATTTCTTGAATATTATTTAACAAAAATTGACATTGTCAGCGAACTTTTAGAATAGCACTCGATCTTGAAAAAACAGATTGGAACTATAATTAGTGTTTTGTATTAAATGGAATTAATTAGAATAGACCAATCGAACTCTTCGATACCAAGTAATAAAATTTTAAAGGAAATCCAAATCAAGTTACTTTTAAGATATTTAAGAAGGAGCAACGAAACAGGAAACTTAGAAGTGCATGTAGATATATTGTGCATGCAAGCATTAGACATTAAAGCCCAAACTCCTGTTGCGATATGGCGGGAGCTTATAATTAGCCCTTAAGTATTACAATCATTGGTAAACCCTGACCGTGGGGGGGGGGGGGGGGGGAAGGAGGGGTTGTGCCATGACGAGGTTCATTGACAAAGGATTAAACTCAACTTGCAAAGGCGATTACAATATATCCGGGACCAAAAACCCCTGTGCATAAAATACTCTGTTAAAAACTGTCTCGAACCATGAATGCTTTTTTGCACGGATTATGTAGATTACGTTAGGAGAGCGTAGCACAGTGGTAAGTGGGTTTCGTTCTAAAAGTCTCGGGTTAGGAGGTGATCCTTAGGTCGCGGGTTTGAATCCCATAGGGGGACGTGGAGACCCTAGTTCTTAAGGAGAGATAGTATAAACCGAGCTTCCCCCTAAAAACAACATCTGTCGCTTAAAGAAATGTATCTTATTACTTAAAAATAACGAAAGGTCATGGCATATGCATATACAATGAAAATTTAAGCAACAACTGGACATGTAGGGGTTCAAGAACTTTTCCAAAAATTTAAAGCAAGTCATAAGTGGGGGTCTAAAAACGCCCCCTTTTAATCCGTTTCCTTTAAATGTTTTCTTTGTTCCGTCAAAATGATCATTAATCGACCAATGCAGTCAACATTTATGAGAGGACTTGACGTAAGAGATCGTAGGCATTTCTTCTCCTACATGTATGTCATTGATCCGACTGCAAGACCTTTACTGTGCATCATTATGTACCGAATGTTTAAGCTTGTTTTGAAGTATCTGAAGAGTGAGTTTTTGTGAAAACTCTGCCTTATTACAAATCATTACATAGTGTATAAATAGCTGATATAATGAATTAATTGGACTTTACGCCGATTGTTTATTCTTTAACCTTCTCAAAAAAGAAGCGGTAAATTCTATTAGTAAGTTTTGAATACTGTTAAAATTTAAGAGAAACTGAAGTGTTTGGTTTTGCATTTAATACGAATATAAAGACATTGTAAAAAAGATTAGAAGTCAAGCCGGAAAAACATTTTAACGGAGTCAATTTATGCGTGGATTATTGAACACTCTACATCATCAGGTTGTGAATTCTTTGTACAAGTATTGAACGGCAGGCGGCAAACTTGTTATTGTATTTGTTCGGCTCTATCCTAAGATTGATTAACTGCTGGCTGTGCATCTAATTATGGTGACTGTGTTCGATCTTAATTTTTTTTCATTTCAATCTCAAACTCGATTGCCACAAGGCACTTTGGTCAATGGTAACGGATAAAGATAGTCTAAAATTCATCTAAGTGTGTTTTAGTGGATTGATGGCATATTTTTTCCATTCTCATTGAAGGTATGTTGCTTAGTATAACTGGCATTTAAACACAAAGACCAATCATTTCATTTCATGCTTATCCTTTATGTTACGTTGCAATGATATGGTATGAGATTTCCACGATGTATGAAGATTTGAAAGCTACGCCATAGTGCTCAAAAAAGTAATGATAAGGTATACAATGCAATGACATTCAAAAAGAGTCAAGTAAGTGTTTAAATATTTTACAAGAGGCCCAAGGGCCTTAACGGTCACCTGCGTATAATACAACACTGTAAAGAATCCTTAGAAGTATTAAATAAAAGAGAGGCTCGGAAGAGTCACATTTTCTTATTATACCTATACACCTAGTTGAAAATTTCCAAAGAAATAATGTTTTTTTTTACTATAAAAGCAATAGAGCTCCTAACGCTCCCAGAACCAGAGCCCATGAAATTCACAATTTTTGACGAGACACCATTGCTCATCATAACTATATGTTTAGTTTATCTACATAAAAACAAAGAGCAGATTATCAAAACCTTAATGCATTTTCACTATATAATCAATAGAGCCATCACCCCCACAGGAACCCCTGACCCACCCTTGCTCATCATAAGTATGCACTTAGATACCCAGAAGCAGAGAGGGACTTTCAATGAATTGATGGATTTTTACTATATAAATCATAGAGACCCAGGGGCCAGGAAATTCACAATTTTGGAAGAAGCCCCCTTGCTCTTCATAACTATGCAGTTGGTTTGTTTGCTTAATACCCCAGAACAGGGGCAGATTTTTAAATAATTAATGAATTTTCACCATATAAGCTCCTCCCTTACAAACTTCTGACCAAGGGGAATGACATTCACTGTTTTGGAAGAGGCACCTTTGCTCATCATAACTATGCATCCAGTCTGTTTGCTGAATACCCAGAAACAGAAGAGATTTTCAATACATTAATTCATGTTCACTTCATACTCAATAGACCCCCCCCCCCCATTGAACCCTTGACCCAAGGACAAAACATTTCACAAATTTGGAAGAAGCACACTTGCTCATCTTAACCGTGCACTCAGTTCATCATGATCAGCTTTATAGGAGCAGAGAAGATTTTGAAGAATTACAGAATTTTCACTATATAATTAATAGAGCCCTATCTTTACACCAGAACCTCTGACCGAGAGGCACCCTTGCTCATCAAAATAGGGCATTAAGCCTCAGCACCCCAATCCCCAGATACCCACACTCCTCGAAAGTTTGTAAGAGTCATATTTAGGAGGTAGGGGTCCTGTCCATGGGAAGCTAACACTTCCTCCCCTCCCCAATACTAGTACATGTAGATTCTTTGAGTTTCGACAGTTGCCGTAGTGTAGTTTTCTTAGTCAAATAATATACCTTCAGGAAAAATACATGGATCTGTCCTGGCTAGATTAAAATGAAATTGCAACCCCTGAAGTTTTGAACTTAATACAGCAAAATTTTGTGTCATGAAAATGTACATTGCAACGGGATATAGCAATTATAAAAACCTAGTTCTTGGGTATACTGCATCATCGATCGGAGTCTGGTATAAAGCGTTTGTGACATGTTTCGGAAATCAACAGTATTCTTTTAGTCCCTGGGTACGCCCAATCGCCTTTCCCCCGGTCTTTTCTTCCTACATATCACATGCATGTTGCTGTATTTAGTGATTGATCGTATGTTCTTTTATGTCCCATTCGAGAATGTTTCACATATATTTTCAGCATGTGTGAAATCTAATAGCACATACTGTCTACATTGCCTTGTTTTAAAACTTGTCGATATTGAAACACTTGAGTGGGGAAGATGAAAGTCGCGTGGTAAAGGGAAAAAGATTATGTAAGATACCATTTATCAATGACATCTACACATCATTGAGATGTTGACCATCTGAATTGAGCCCAATGTTAGTAAATAAAAAGTGTATGACATGAGGATGACGGGATAATATTTGGAATTTGAAATTGACCTTTGATTTGCACATTTACTCGTGCCAACTCTTTGATCGAGTGAGGTATGGGCCAAATGTGGCTCAGGGGAGAAACATTATCCAAACAAGGATTTTATTTTTACAAACACATCTGCCATGAGGTTGACTTCTGACCTACAAAAACTTGGTTAAAAGTCCCTGCTTCTCCATAACCCATGTGCACTCTATGGATGAAGTAGGGACCAGAGACGGCTCAGGGGAGAGAACACACGCTTCAGACAAGGTTTTCACTCAATGAATTTCTTAAATCTTGAATTTGATCAAGATCATTATTGCACACCCTCTACTCATAGGCACCCTTTGGTTGAAGTATGAGTAAGATAAGCCACGAGGAAAGAAAAAGATTACATACAGAGATCTGCCATGACATTTACCTCTGGCCTAAACATTGTTCTCATTATGCCCCCGTAATCGAAGATTCGGGGGCATATAATTTTTGCCCTGTCCGTCTGTCTGTTTGTTTGTTTGTCCGCAAAAACTTTAACCTTGTCCATAACTTTTGATTGGTTGGAGCTGTGGCTTTCATATTTCACATGTGTATTTCTTGTGACAAGACCTTTCTTTCTGTACTATCAGGTTTGACCTTGACCTCGGAGTTTGACCACTTTTGCAAAATTTTATGAGACTTTTACCTTGGCCATAACTGTTGAACAGTTGAAACTTAGGCTTTCAAACTTCACATGTATATTTCTTGTGACAAGACATTCCCTTGAGTACCAACATCTTTGACCCTTTGACCTTAACCTTGGAGTTTGACCTACCGTTAATAAAACTTTAACCTTGTCATAACTCTTGAACAGTTTGTGCTAGGTCTTTCATACTTCATATGTGTACTCCTTGTTAAAATACATTTCTTTGGATACCAACAACTTTGACCTTGACGTTTGACCTACTTCATTTTTGAAAATTTTAACCTTGACCATAACTTTTGAAAAGTTTATGCCAGGGTTTTCATACTCCAAATATGCATTTCCTGTGGGAAGACCTTTCTTTAGATACCAACAACTTTGACCCTTTGACCTTGAACTGGAGTTTGACCTACTTTTGAAAAACTTTAACCTTGGCCATAACTTTTGAACAGATGGTGTTAGGGCTTTCATACTTCAATTGTATATTCTTGTGACAAGACCTTCCTTAGGATACCAACAACTTTGGCATTTACCCTGACCTTGGAGTTTAACCTACTTTTAAAAAATTTAAACCTTGGCCATAACATTTGAACGTTTGGTTGTATGGCTTTCACATTTCACGATCATGTGTATCACTTGTGACAAGACCTTCCCTTGGGCACCATTTGACCTTGACCTTGCCGTTTTACTTACTTTGAAAAATCTTTAACCTTCGCCATAATTTTTCAACGGTTTGTACCAGGGCTTTCATATTTCACAAGTATATTCCTCGAGACAAGACCTTTCTTTGGGTACCACATTTTTGATTTCTTGACCTGGAGTTTGACATGCATTTGAGAAACTTTAACCTTCGCCATGAGCTGCCATACGGGGCCATCAATGTTTCACAAACACATCTTGTTGTAAATGCAAAAATTGTAACAGGTACTCTATTGGTAAATTGTGAGGCAGATATGCTCCAGAAATGGTTTTACACAGAATGTTGTTTTACTTAACCTTTGATCTAGAAAATTTGGTCTACGTTCCTGCATAAGCTTAACCAACAGGTACTTAATTGAGGAAGTACAGGTCTCAAGACTATAAAAATTTTGAAAATGGAACAAAATTTTTACCATGTTTAAATTTTAATATTATACAAACCTGTAATTTTTTAAGTATGTTTGTTAAATAAATTTTAGGATATTCAGAATCTAAAATTTGATTTAAGTCTGTTCTCAGTTTATAGTTTTGGAGTCTGGAATAAGCCAGATAGTCCCAAGGGGAGAGAAAATATGCGCAAACAAAGATTATACACCGAAATGTTGACCATGTCCTTTGATATAGAAAATTGATTTAAGATTGCTGCATATCCTCTACCCACGGGTAATCTATTAATGAAGTTGAGTTAGATTTGTCCAAAGGAAGAGAAAAAAATATGCCCTAGATAAGTGATATTAGACGGACAATAATTATATTATCATGCAGCAAAAAATATTATGACGGTGCGTTATTTCTTTTATATGTATTAATGTGCAATTTTAGATTTACCGAAGTGATTGACTTTGGTTGATCACAGTTGATTTTCATGACGCGACAGACATTTTTGTTTGACAGACATAATGCAATGACAGCATCATGTAAATTTATCATATCATATTAAGTATAAGAAGTATTTTAAAAGTATTTACTTTGAGATATAAACGGTGAATAAATTTGCGTACGTTTTTTCTATGTGCTAGTCCGAAATACCTGACGTTTTCCTGGCTTTTTTACGATTTTGATATTTTACGTGCCAGGAAAACGTTGGAGGTGGCGAATTCCCAGTTTTCGTAATGGCACCGGTTCTGACGTTTTCCTGGCATATAAATATCAAAATTGTGAAAAAAGCCTGGAAAACGTCAGATGTTTGGACTATGTGTGAGCATGAGTTTCATTCACTTTCGAAACGGAAAAACATCGTTCCGTTTAAGGTAAAGATTATTCGTTTATTGGTCTTTTAAAAAACCAACGTGTACATTAGTTCACTTGTTTAATAAGTAATTGACTATTCAGTGGCATTCTCGCGGCATCTGAATTTTACACTTACCAATCGCTTCCTTTATAAGGAATACTTGTTCTGAACTGAAAATAGTTTGTGCACGACAGGGATTGGGTAATAGTTGTTTGTTTGTTATTGTTCAACGTCCCTCTCGAGAATTTTTCACTCATATGGAGACGCCACCACTTGCCGGTGGAGAGCTACAAATTTTGACTTATACTCGGGATGCGGGGATTGGGTAATCATAAACAGTAATCGTTATCAGCTGTAATCTATTACAATTTGCTGTGTAATCGTGAATATTTACATCCACTGAATATTTTCGCCTTTATTTCTAAAGAAAACCATTGCCGTTTTTCAGTTCAGGAACAACACTAGGCAT